AAAAAAAAAAGAATAAGCCTTGTATTCAGTAATAAAGTAAATGGTCAATGCTGTAATTTAGTTATATGTATTGTGCTCTGTAAATAAATTTCTTTGAAATTTAAAAAAGAAAAGTTGATTAACAGTATGACCTGGTAAAAGAAACTCCAAATGCACTATGAGTTGACATTTTCATCCATTTGGGAAGTTGACAGATCTCCAGAATGAGGTTTGTCATTAATCGATATTTTACCTTTTTTGAAATGAGAACACTGAGTTTTCCCATAGTAAGCTGTGTTCAACATCACAGCAGTTTCTGTGGCATTTTCCCCAAGCATGAAACAAAATTTGACATCTGCATGCTGTTCTCTTAAATTGGCCATCACAAAAACGAGGTTCCAGCTAAAGTGCTTTTACAAAAAAATTCACTGTGACCAGAGAGAATCTTCCCAGGCAATGCCACTGGGTGCGCTAACTCAGAGCAAGTTGCTTGATGCTCACCTAGTGGGAAAAATGCCTCCTAAGAACACTCTACTCCACCCAGTGCAGTTCCATTTTTTGGGGGGAGGTACCCCCTCATATGCATGTGAAAGTTGAAAACTGAATAAAGAAGACTGGAAAAGAGTTAATGGATTTGGTTTGTAGTGCTGGCAAAGAATATTGAAAGTACCATCCGTGGACTGCTAAAAGGACAAACCAACCTGTCTTGGAAGAAGTACAACCAGAATGGCAAGGATACATTGGACATGTTGCCTGGACAGACGAGTGCCTGGAGAGGGACATCATGCGTGGTCAGATGGAGAGGCAGCAATCCTCATGGATTGATAAAGTGGCTGCAATGGGATCAAGCCTGGGGCCAGTTATGACGGTTCTGTTGTGCATAAAGCGGCTATGGGTCAGAACCAACTTGTTGGTACCTAGAAGCAGCAACAACACTGTCCCTGAAATGGTCGCTAAGAGTCAGAACGGACTCCGTGGCAGTGAGAAACTGCCAGCCCAAGGAGTGTCTTGCCCTCGGGAATTCGCCTGGGTGCGCCTCTACTAGAAATTGAGGTGCGCCTCTACTAGAAATTGAGGTGCGCAGGCCTCGTGATCTGAGGGGCCCAGAACAAACCTGTATACTTTTCTAATCTGCAATGGTGTTTGTGTCTCAAGCATAGTCCCTTTCCCGATCATAGTCTCCCCTCTGGCAGTGATGACCTGATTTGTTTGCAATCATGATTTTCTGGTAAGTTTCTTTATTTCCCATCTTCCATGATAAGCAACTTGGCCCTAAATCCTTTGGACATCGTTGTGGCCTCAAACAGATGGTCTCCCTCAGCTGAACGATTCATCAAAGGGTTCACTACAAAACATATTTGAACTTGGGAGCCCTTTTCTCTCTAGAAAGTTGGTTAACAGACACCTGTCACCAAAAGGAGTCTTAGCGACTTTATGATTACGCTCTCTCCGCAATGTCTCCTCTGCTTATTCATTTCTGAGTGCTTTTCACATTGGCTCATGACCTTTGTGCACTTTCCTGCGTACTTAGAACGAGCCATCAAATGGGGGCCTCAGTTTCCTTTCTTACTAACAGTGTTTGGTCTTTCTTCCACTCTTTGCCTGGCCACACTCTCCCCTCTGCCCATCCCCGAGACACCCCTTCCGGATTATCCCATGGGAACTTCACATTCTCCTCCCTTGCTTGTACAGTGATTGTCTTTCCTCTGAAGGTCTAGGGCCGGCAGAGACCCAGGAATGGTCAGAGGCTGGGATCCTTATCTTCAAGGTGGGTTCTTTGCAAATTTTCTCTCACTGCCATTGAGTCAATGCTGAGTCACAGCGACTCCTAGTGGTTTTCTGAGACGGTAACTCTTTACTTGCGTAGAAAGCTCAGTCTTTCTCCCTGGGGTTGCTGGTGGTTTCGAACTGCTGATCATGTGGATTGCAGCCCAACACATAACTACACCACTAGAACTCCTCTTTGCAAACACTACAGTGTCTACCAAGAAGCCCTGGTGGTGCAAACAATAAGCTACTGGTTATTAACGGAAGGGTTGGTGGTTCAAACCCACCCAGCAGCCGAGAAAGATATGGTGAGCTGCTATTGTAAAGAGTTCAAAAGCCCAAACCAAACCCATTGCCACTGAGGCGATTCTTAGAGTGACTTAGGGCAGAGTCGAACTCTTTGTAAGATTTCCAAGGCTGGACATCTCTATGGGGGGAGGGGCGTGGGGTGGGTGTGGGGTAGCCGCAGTAGGGGGGTGGGGCAGGAAAGACCATCTGTTGTAGCTTTGCCCGAGGCCATCTGTAGCGTGACTTTTTTTGACTGTTGCTTTCATGCGTGTTGACCATGAATCCAAGCAAAATGAGATCCTTGACAATGTCAAAATCTTCCCTCCATGTATCAGGACGAGGCTTGTCTCAGAGTGTAAATGCTAAGCATTTGGTTTGTCAGAGGCTTATAGTAGGAGCCCCAGCTCCATTTTGAGCCTTGACAGAAATTCAGCTTCCATTAAGCTCATTCTGGCCATTACCAGCAATGTAAAGAGCTTTGCCCTGTTCTACAGGACAAAAGGTGACCTCAAA